GTGCAGCATTTCTTTTCGTAATCGCTAACAACACGCTGTTGGTCTTATGAGCACTCTGTAACATTTGGAATGCCTCGGCGTTCGATACCTCCCTTCGGTCCTGTGTCACTCGCTCGTTGATGAACGTTGCGAGTCCGAAATGGTTCGCGAGTAACGCTGTCTGAACATAACTGAAGTCTCCGTTCAGGTATGCCTGCTCACACAGGTCGTTGAAGCGGTTAGGGTCCATGTTGACCCATGCGTCTCTGTCTGCCGGCACATTGAGGTTAACCGGCGGGTCGCCCTGCCCAGGCCTAGCTGCAGCGGCCGCCGCCGCCGCCATGGCAACCGCGCTCCGCTACCATGCAAAACCCCGAGGAGGGTTCTGCACGGGAGCCTGGTAACAATGATGATGATCGGTCACCTTTATACTTCCGCACGGCGAAGCAAGTCTCAGTAGCTTCAGCCGTTAAACACTTGAGCCAAAGGCAACAGGGTTACTATTCCTCCCCAGTCACCTGAACGCTTGCATGTTAACACCTCCTCCTCCTCCTCCTCCTCCTCCTCCTCCTCCTCCTCCTCCTCCTCCTCCTCCTCCTCCTCCCCCTCCTCCCCCTCCCCCTTGGCTGAAGCTGGATCGACCCTCCTCCCCCGGCCTCCGACCCCCCCCCCGCCGGGGGCCTCGGCCTCGGCGCCCCCCGCTGGCGCCCCGACGCCCCGGCCCTCCTGCCCTGCCCGGCCTCGGCTCTCGGGCCGCAGCTCGGCCCCTCCGGCGGCCGAGCTGCGGCCCGAAGGCCGGGCACCGCTGCAGCGCTCTCGACGAGGGGCCGCCGATGGGAGCCACCGGACCCAATCTCTCTGCTGCCTTTTTCGAGCTGGCCCGATCGGTGGTAGTCCTGGGGCCCAAACCGGGCGAACGCGCCCAGCGTGGAAAAGATGGAACGCCCCAGGTCTCAGGGCTCCCCTCCGCCTCGCTCCTCGCTCCTCGCTCCTCGCTCTCCTCCTCCCCCTCCTCCCCTCCTCCCCCTCCCCCCTCCTCCTCCTCCTCCTCCTCCTCCTCCTCCTCCTCCTCCTCCTCCTCCTCCTCCTCCTGAATTACAGGTGCGAGAAAGAGAGAGAGAGAGAGAGAGAGAGACCCAGACATGATGGCGTCGTAACAAAAATCAGGGCGGAAGGTTTTTCGCTACGCCGTCCTGAAAAAATCAGGACGTCGCATGTCTGGGGAGGCGTCCTCGTCGGGCGGCCCCGCCCGCGCTCGGCGCGCCCGTCCCCCCCCCAGCTCCCCCTGGCTTCAGGCCGGGGCGGCGGGGCCGGACAGGCGGGGCGCTCGGGATGCAGAACCACCCCCCGCCCCGGGCCCCGAAAGCTCCCGAAGGCTTCCGCAGGGTTTCTGAGACTTTCGACCATCTCCCCCCCCCCCCGAGTCTGTCCCCCCCCCCTACGGCCGGGAGCTTTTGCTTCGCGTGGGGTGGCGGCGGCCTGGCGACACGCTACGCCCTGCGAGCGGCCATGCGTGTCACGCCGCTGCGCGGGGTGGGATGGTCGGAACGGCTCGGGACGTTGGCTCTCGGGGGCCGCGACGTGGATAGCGTGTCGCGCCGAACCATGGTGGGCCAGAACCGGCGGAGCCACACGCAAATCCAAAGTTCCAAACCGTCACGTTGCCCCAGGGCCGCTTTTCCATCCCGTATCCAAACCGTCACGTTGCCCCAGGGCCGGTTTTCCATCCCGTATCCTTTTTTTGGCGGTCCCGGGGCCTAGCGCCTGGCGAGGCGGAGACCGAAAATGACCCAAAGCTGCCCGTCGTGATTTCTTCAAGACGTGACCACGTCTGGGGACCTCGGCCACAAGCAAGAGTGACCCCAGGCAGGGGTGACCTTGGGCGCGCGACTTCCGGGGGGCCCAAGGGGTGCCAAACCCGAGCGCGGACGCCGCTGCTGCCGCACCGCATTCGGCCATCTGGGGACCTCAGTGGGCCCGCACAGCAGGTCACGCGGGCGAAAGGTCCCCAGACATGCGACGTCCTGATTTTTTCAGGACGGCGTCCCTGGAAGTCCCGACCCTTTTCCCGGGGCCGGTTTTTCGTCCTGAGTCGTTTTCTGACGGTCCCGAGGCCCGGCGAAGGCCCCCAGGGGCCGAAAGTAGCGAAAAACCTATAAAAACCTCCCGTCCTGATTTTTTTGACGACGCCATCATGTCTGGGTCTCTCTCTCTCGCACCTGCAGTTCAGGGCCGCCCCGAACGGTGCCCCGGACCTCGGCGCCGCTCGCGGGCGACCCGATGCTGGCGGCGGCCGCCGGCGCGCCCTCGGCGCCGGGCGCGGCGGCGCGCGGGCTCCGCCCTGAGGAGGAGGAGGAGGAGGAGGAGGAGGGGGAGGAGGAGGAGGAGGTGGAGGAGGAGGAGGAGGGGAGGAGGAGGAGGAGGTGGAGGAGGAGAGGAGGAGGAGGATGCAGGTGGAGGAGGAGGAGGAGGAGGTGGAGGAGGTGGAGGAGGGGAGGGGGAGGAGGAAGGGGAGGGGGAGGGGGAGGAGGAGGAGGCGGAGGGGAAGGAGGAGGAATGGGAAGGGCGCCCTGCGGCAATTTGACCAACTCTCGTAACACCATTATTTGTTCGTCCTCTCTTCCTCCACTCCTTTCTTTATGACCAAAGCTCTTCCCTGTCGCACCCCGAAGCTGGTCGGAAAGGCGGAGAACTGAGAACAGCCTCGCACATGGAGGGCGGGTGGTTTTCAAAATGCGGCTCTCGATTCAGCGCCGCGCAAGCTTCAACTTTGTAAGAGTTTCACGGGCTGAGGGCGGGTCGTTTTCAAAATGTGGTTTTCGCCGCGCACATTCGTCTTAAACATGTGCAAGAGTTTCACGGACTGAGGGCGGGTCGTTTTCAAAATGTGATGTTCGCCTTTGCGCCGCGCACATTCGTTTTAAAACATTGCAAGAGCTTCACGGATTGACGGCGGGCGATGTTCAAAATGTGGCTGCCGCCTAACGCCGCGCACATGTGTCTTAAACATGTGCCAGAGCTTCACGGATTAAGGGCGGCTCCTTAAAAAAAATGCGGCTCTCGCCTTAGCGCCTATGAGCTGGTTCTCCTCCTCCTCCTCCTCCGCCTCCTCCTCCTCTTCCTCCTTCTCCTCCATTCCTTTTCCTTATAGATAACTCGTCCCTGTCGCACCCCGAAGCCGGTCGAAAGGGCGGTCCGCGCGTTTCGTCTACGTACAACAGCAAATCAACGAATGCTCGCGGCGCTGAGGCGAAAGCCCCATTTTGAAAACGACCAGCGCTCAGACCCAAACACTGCTGCAAGATTGGAGGAGGCGGAGGAGGAGGAGGAGGAGGAGGAGAATGGGGAGGAGGAGGAGGGGGAGGAGGAGGGGGAGGAGGAGGGGGAGGAGGAGGAGGAGGAGGAGGAGGAGGAGCCCCTTCCCGCCTTCCTCCGTCGTGCTGCTCCTTCCGCCTCCTCCTCCCCCTCCTCCCTCCTTGTCCTCCTGTTGCTCCTCCTCGTGTCGCCCGCCTCTCGGTCGGTCTTCCTCCTCCTCCTCCTCTGCGGCCGCACCCCCTCCTCCCCGTCGGAGGTTGGCGATCCAAATGGAACAGAGAGCCCCCCACCGGGAAAAATCGGTTCATGTCGCCCGCCTCTTGGTCAATCTTCCTCCTCCTCCTCTGCGGCCGCACCCCCTCCACCCCGTCGGAGGTTGGCGATCGAAGTGGAACAGAGAGCCCCCCACCGGGAGAAATCGGTTTCGGTTTCGGGCTCGCGTCGTGCGTGCGGGCGAGGCGAAGCTGCGTGGGTGGGCGAGGGGAACGGCTCCGCTGTTGCCAGGACGGGGCGAACCGATTGCCCGAACCTCCCCTGGTGGGCGGGCGGTGGCCGGGTTGTCCCGCCGTCGCTGTCCCGTCGCTGTCCCGTCGATGTCCCGTCGGTGTCGCGTCACTGTCGCGTCGCTGTCCCGTCGGTGTCCCGTAGTGAGATCGATAGTAATATCGACAGTAAGATCGAGAATGAGACCGACATTGAGGTCGATAGTGGGATCGAACGTGAGATCGATAATGCAATCGATAGCGTGATCGATAGTGCGATCGATGGTAAGATCGATCGTGAAATCGATAGCGATTAATAGCGAGATCGATAGTGATATCGATAGTGAGATCGATTGAGTGAGACGTTGGTTCCTCCCCCCTGCACATCATTATCACCCGAGGGGTGGTCGTACGTGTACCTGTCTTAGTTGCGTGCCCTCCCCAGTGGCAGAGGTCTGCCAGGGAGGGAGGGGCTGCGCCTGTTACAGGTGCCAGAGACCGCAACGATCAGCGACCGAGAGGAGGAAGAGGAGGAGGAGGAGGGGGAGGAGGAGGACGAGGAGCAGGAGGAGGAGGAGACGAGGACAGGAGGAAACGAGACGAGGAGGATGAGGAGGAGGAGGAGGAGGAGGAGAAGGATGAGGAGAAGGAGGAGGAGGATGGAGGAGGGAGGGAGAAGGGAAGGGGAGAAGGAGGAGGAGGAGGAGGAAGAGGAGGAGGAGGAGGACGACGAGGAGGAGGGGGAGGAGGTGGAGGAGAGGAGACGAGGAGGAGGAGACGAGGAGCAGGAGGAGGAGGAGGAAGAGGAGGAGGAGGACGACGAGGAGGAGGGGGAGGAGGTGGAGGAGAGGAGACGAGGAGGAGGAGACGAGGAGCAGGAGGAGGAGGAGGAGGAGGAGAAGAAGGAGGAGGCGGAGGAGGAACAGGAGGAGGAGGAGGAGGAGGAGGAGGAGGAGGAGCATGGCGACAGAACCAGTTAGTAAGTGAGGCAGCTCAAAAGCCCTGCTGCTTCCCTCTGGTAAGTGAAGCACTTCAAAAGCTCTGCTGCTTCCCTCTGGCCAACTCGCCCTTACAGCGAGCCTTGGGCCAGAGGCCTTGGGAAATGGGGAGGGGGAGGAGGAGGAGGAGGAGGAGGAGGAGGAGGAGGAGGAGGAGGAGGAGGAGGAGGACGAGACGAGACGAGACGAGACGAGACGAGACGAGACGAGACGAGACGAGACGAGACGAGACGAGACGAGACGAGACTAGACGAGGAAGAGGGGGAGAAGGAGGAGCAGCAGGAGGCGCGGCAAGCCGCAGCAGCCCGCAGCCTTCGCCAGCTGGGGCCGCGCGGCTGGCCGCCCCCACCACGGGAACGCGGATGCTCTGGACCATCAAGCCCGACAGTTCCTCGTCGTCCTGCATGGCGGCCAGCGTATGTCCGAGGTGGCAGCACGAGGAGGAGTAGGAGGGAGGACGAGGAGGAGGAGGAGGAGGAGAAGGAGAAGAAGGAGGAGAATGAGAGAAAAAGAGGAGACGAGAAGAGGAGGATGAGGATGAGGAGGAGCAGGAGGAGGAGGAGGAGGAGCAAGGGACAGGAGGGCGGGAGGAGGAAGAGGAGGAGGAGGAGGAGGAGGAGGAGGAGGAGGAAGAGGATGAGGAGAAGGTATAATGAGGAGGTGGAGGAGGAAGAACAGGAGGCAGGATGGAGAAGGGAGGGTGAGGTGAGAGCAGGATAAGACAGGAAAGAAAAGGAAGCCTCGGGGATGCGAGCGCTGGCCAGATAGGAAGGCACGAGAGGATGGTCATGCAGGTGTGGAGGTCACCAATGATCTGCCAGGCCTGCTCCGCCCGGCGGCAGTGCAGCAGGAGCCCCCTTAGGAACTGAGGACATGGCTCAGACGCGGGAACGGAAAAGGAGGAGGGAGGAGGGGAGGGAGGGGGGAGAGGGAGGGGGGGGGAGGGAGGAGGGCGGAGGGGGGGGAGAGGGGGGAGGGAGGGAGGAGGGGAGGAGGACAAGCTAGGTGCGCTCGCGTCATATCTGACGTCCTACACCTCCCTCCCATCGCTTGCCATGGCGTAGATCTCTTCTCTATTCGCACAGTCGGATGGCGTAGCATGGTGTTGAAGATCAACACGTATCATGACATAGCATGGCGTGGCGACGCCCCAAAGTGGGGGTGGCTTTGCGGCCCAAGAAAACAACGAGTCGACACCGAATGTGTAATCACTTCCGATGGTTGTTGTCGGGGGGGCATTTTCTAGACTTGGGGGCCTCTTTGGAAAGATCGAGAACCATGCCGTGGCATGGCGCTGGACATAATGACACCAGCGCTGCAGCGGGAGCGGAGCACGATTCGGAACGAGCGGAAGCGCGGAATGAGGCCAGCGCTGCAGAAGGAGCACGATTCGGAACGAGCAGAAGCGCGGAACTGAGGCCAGCGTTGCAGCGGGAGCACGATTCGAAACGAGCGGAAGCCTGAAAATGAGGCCAACGCTTCAGCGGGAGCAACAATTGGAAAACAAGCCCAAGCGAAAACTCGTTTCCTGGGAATCCTGTGTAAAAAAACCGTACGCGGAAGGGGGCCGGATATCTGCCGGACGTCACCAGGGGAGAGAGGAGAATAGTATGAATAAAGGAGGACCTGTGTAAACCGAAGACTCATCAACGATGTTGGAATACACCCTCGAGCTCCCCTGTCGCAGGCCTCTGCAAGGGTTCTCTTCCACTGAGGGAACTGCCCCGTTGAACAGTCTGAAAATTCGGGAACGCGCCCAAACACCATTCACAGGACGTCAAATCCACGAGTTCAACTGACTGTTACGTCTTGGTAATCTGTTACGTCTTGGCAATCTTGAATAGTGCCAGGACGCGATCGCAGGGACTTCAACACAACCAACCAACGTAATTGTTACGCCCTGACATTCCTGAATCGTTCCACAACATCACCTATGGTACGTTAGCCGCGAGAATCAATACAACTTCTGCTTTATCTGAACGTATGTCCGCGGCGCTAAGGCGAGAGCCACATGTTGAAAAGGAGCCGCCCTCAATCGGTGAAGCTCTTGCAAATTTATAAACGAATAAGCGCGGCGCTGAGGCGAGAACTGAATATTGAAAGCGAACCGACGCCAATCCGTGAATTTTTTGCAATGTTTAAAACGAATGTGCGCGGCGATACGGCAAGAACCACATTTTGAACACGACCTACACGCAGTCCGTAAAACTCGAGCACATGTTTAAAGCGACTGTGCACGGCGCTAGGGCGAGAGTCACATGTCGAAAACCACCTACCCTCAATCCGTGAAGGTCTTTCAAAAGTTTAGAACGAGTGTGCGCGGCGCTAACTCGAGAGCTATATTTTGAAAACCACCCGCCCTCAATCCGTGAAGCTTTTGCACATGTTTTTAACGAACGTGCGCGGCGCCACGGCGAGAGCCACATTTTGAAAACCACCCGCCCTCAATCTGCGAATCGGTTGCTATTCTTTACGCTTGCAGATCATCGCTGCTGAGGGAGTCTCAATCGGAACGCCCAGCCCGCCCTTTCGACCGGCATCCGGGTGCAACAGGGAGGAGTTGCTTAGAAGGAGAAGGAATGGAGGAGGAGACAGGAGGGAGGGAGAAGGGAGGTGCGAAAAAGGAAGCGGGAGGAGGAGCAGGAGAAGGAGGAAGAAGGAGGTAGGGAGGAGGGAGGCGTAATTAGGAGGGGGAGGCGTAATTAGGAGGAGGAGGAGGAAAAGGAGGAGGAAAAGGAGGAGGAGGAGCAGGAGGAGAAGGGAGGCAGAGGAGGCGGCTATGCTTCGTCTCGGTCCTCGTCCTCCTTGCCCCCGTTCTGCCCCTCCTCCGCCCCCCCCCCCCCCCCCACTTCCCCACTGCTCGTCCTCGTCCTCGTCCTCGTCCTCGTCTTCCTCCTCGCCCTCCTGGTGCGGGCGCGCGCGTCGGCCCCGCCCCCGGGATGTCCTCGCTGCCGGACCCGTCGGAATCGCAGGCTGGCGCCAGGGGCGAGCCGTCCTGCCCCGGGAGACCACGGGCGGGCCGGCAAAGCGAGACCACCGCGATGAGGAGGAGGAGGAGGAGGAGGAGGCGGAGGAGGAGGCGGAGGAGGAGGCGAAGGAAGAGGAGGAGGAGGAGGAGGAGGAAGAGAAGGAGGATGAGGAGGAGGAGGAGGAGGAGGAGGAGGCGGAGGAGGAGGCGAAGGAAGAGGAGGAGGAGGAGGAGGAAGAGAAGGAGGATGAGGAGGAGGGCACGAAGCTCGGCGAGCAGGTCGATCTGCGGCCTCGCCTATGCTTGCATGCGGTGCAGAGCGGCCAGTCTCACACCAGACCGATGATCCGCTCCGGCATCCAGGCCCACGTCCACGCGGTTCTTCTGGATGTGGTAGCACTGGCACATGAGGCCGACCGAGTAGATGCAGTCCGTGATCGGTCTCCTTGCGTGGAACTGCGCGTCGCCGAACCCGAGGAGCTCGACGCCGTGGCCCAGGGAGTCCGCGCCAGCGTCTCCCGCGGTCATCGCCCTGAGGATCGGGCAGACGATGTAGTGCTCGAGCGCGTCCTCCTCATCGCAGCCGAACAGGCATGGACGCGCATCGATGACGGCGCTCATGCGGCGAGATGTCGTCCAGCCGTTGACCGCGGTGCGGATCCACGACCACATCCATGAAGGGCGGACCTCCGTCAGCTTGTCACGCAGCGGAGGCCACCTCTCGCGCAGCTCGGGAAGCGAGCACGCGACTCCCCACCTGCGCAGCCGACGGTGGATGGTGGCCACCAGGTCCTCGGGGTACAGCGAGCCTCGGAGCGATATGGCGGCCGTGGCCTGGCGCTTGGGCTTCCTGTTGGGGATGGCCGCTGCCGCCGCCTTCGTCTCCAGGGTCATCGCCGCCTTCGCAATCTTGATGTACCTGCTCGGAATCGGGACCGGGAGCACATCGAGCGTCGGTCTGGGGATGTTCAACTGGCCGTAGGTGTCCGTGATGATGGCGAAGTTCTGTACGATCGCCCTCCGCGTCTGCCACCACGGCGGCGACCAGTTGCCCTTGATCACGTCGACCAGTGGGACATGCTCCACCGCAGCTTCATGAAGATGGTGAAGGTGAGCTTCCCATTCGCGAACCGTGTTCTCCGCCGTGCGCATCGTCGCCGCGAGCGTGTACGGGAAGAGGCCCGTCGGCGAGGGGGAGCCGCACCACGCGCTCATCGACAGGATGTCGGCCTTGCGCATGGACGAGGGCGGCAGCCGCAGCAGGCGGTGCAGGGAGGTGAACTCGACCTTCCAGATGGCAGGCACAATGAAGTAGAACTGCGCGAGGTACGACAGGCACGGTAGCGCGTTGATGTTGCACGCGCGGGCCGCAAGGCTGGTGGCCATGCCAGTGCGCGCCAGTTCCCAGCAGCGGGTCCACCATTTCCCCGCAGCAGCCTTCCAGATGCCGAAGTCTGTGACGCCTGGTCCCAGGTGAGTCCCCGGTACTTGGCCGTGGAGTCGACGCGGAAGCCCGACCAGCGGGGGACCTCCTCAGCGAGGAAAGACTAAACGTCCTGCAGTGTGTCCTCCGAGAGCTCCTCCCACAGCGGAACCAGCGCGCACTTGTGCAGCGCCAGCTGCAGGTTGAAGGCAAACTCTATGGAGACGAAGGTGTAGTCGATGCTAGGGAGGGCGACAGCGTTCTTGATCAGCATCCCGAGGTCGTCGGCGCAAGCCGTGAGGAACCCATGCTCTGCAATCGCAACCAGCAGCGCGCGGATGGGCGCGTCCATGGCCAAGCACCAGACCGTGCCAGAGAGCGGGCATCCTTGCATGATGCCGCATAGGAGCGCGAACAGCGGCTCGAACTCCGCGCTGGCGCCCTCGGCGCGGAAGGAGCTGAAGGCGAGGCAGTTGCTGTAGAGCGCCGCGACCACGTTGCAGAAGCCCAGCGGGACCCCGAAGCGCGGGAGGACCTTGTCGATGACTTCCCTGAAGAGTGAGGGGAAGGCCTGACGGAAGTCGAACGACAGGAACATGGGGCGGCGGGTCGCCGCGTCAGGAAGAAGGCCCCCCCGACGGCATTCCGCGTCCAGGTACGGGATGTGGTCGACGAAGCGCCGCCCAGCAGTGAAGCCCTTCTGCTCGGGTGAGGTAGATGATGTGGCGATGGGCTGGAGCCCGCGGTCTGCGCAGGCCGCTATCAGCTTGGCGTCGCAGTTCTTCAGAGAGAGGGTGCGCACCGTGGAGGCCGTGCGCGTGCAGGAGTCGGGGACGTCGTCCTCCTCCGTGCCCTTTGGCACGCAGATGAAGATCGACCAGTTGAGGTCGAGCGGGGCCACGCCGTCGTTGAAGAGGACTCCCATGAGACCCTGGAGATGCTGCAAGGCTCCAGGGCTGCGGCGCCACGCTGCGTACGACAGCTGATCTGGTCCCGCAGCGCTCGGCGGGGCCCTACTGGCCGCACGTTCCAAGTCATGTAGAGCTGGTTGAGGTAGTTCCACCGCGGGCTTCCTTGGCGCGTGCTTGTCCAGGAAAGCGCCCAAGGCCTTGAGCTGTTCAGAGTTCGGCACCTTCGCGAAGATCTCACCCCAGTAGTTCGCTACGGTCGCCTTCATGCCCGCGGGATCGGAGACCACGCGCTGAGCCACCTTCGAGTCCTTGGCGGCACACGGTGCGGAGTCCACGCGCAGGCCCGACAGGATCATACGTCGCCGCCACGGGACCCAGAGCTGCGCATGCCTGGCGGCCTTGCGCTCAACCCTCCGCCAGGCTGCGCTGTCGCGCACGTTGGCCGTCCGAGCTGCTGCCTCCGCCGCCTGCCTGCGCAGGGAGTGCACCCGCTCGGCGACGGCATCGAAGTTGGTGGCGAAGCTGTGGGGGTCCACGAGGCGCACGGTGCCGTCGGCAACGTGGAGGTGGGCGGCCAGCGCAGGGCAGGACTCGAGAAGCCTGCCTGCCAGGGCAGCGTCCTGTCGCCAGACAGCCCGCGCCGCCGACTTGAAGCCCATGTACGAGGTCTCGACCATGGAGTCCTTGACGTGTAGGGAGAAGTTGGTCCGCAGCTGGTCATCACGAACGCGTCGCGCTGCAAGTTTCATGCACTGCTTCGCTGCTCTCCAGCGGCCTTCCGCCGTTTCCCCCGCCAAGGAGCAGTGGTCCAGCATGAGCGTGTAGGTCTCAGGGTACTTCCTGTGGTTGAAGAGGTGCGTCGGGATTGGCTGCTCGTCTCGTGGTACCTGGCGCGCGGCAGTGATCTGCAGGACGAGGGGCGCGTGGTCGCTGATGCCCTCCTCGGAAAGCTCCATCGCGTCCCTCGCAGTGGTGAGGATCGTCGAGACCGAGAGCATGGCGTGCGCGTCGATGCCCAAGAAGATGCGGTCGATCGTGGACAGCTGCTTGCTGGACTTGTCGTAGTGGGTCGGCCACTGAGACTCCACCTCCAGAGCTGGAGGAGGAGGAGGAGGAGGAGGAGGAGGAGGAGGAGGAGGAGGAGGAGAAGGAGGAGGACCAGTGGAAACAGCCGTGGCCTTGGCTCAAGTACGAAACCGTGGCCCGGCGGCTTCGTACTCGTCCGCTGCCAATGGGGCTGGCCCCAGGCCGGCCGCCCTCCAGTGGCGCGGGCCTTCCCGGTCCTTTCCCCTTCGCTCGCTCAGGGAGGGCCCGCTTTGGCACCGCCTGGCCGCCACGGCCGGGGCAGTCCGAGGGGGCCTCGAGGAGCAGGGGGGACGGTGGCAAGGGCAGGGCCTGCAGGGGCAGAGGAGGGCGCCCCGCTCCAGGACGCGGCGCCTCCCCGCCAGCGCGGCGGCCCGAGCCCAGCGGCCCCCCCTGGCAGTGAGGCGTCAGCGTTTCTCGTGGGAGCGTGCTGGATGCAGTGCCAGTCGTGAACCTGCGTCGCCCGCGGTGCTGGCGGCGTGGGCGACACGGGGAAGCACCGGGCTCTTCCCGGGCCCCGTCGCACGCCAGGGCGGGCAGCACCATCGGGGACGAGGCGAAGATCGGCCCGCGGATGTCCCGGCTGCCAGCTGCCAGCAGTCCCTGGACCTGCTCAAGGGCACGGGGGGCAACGCTGAGTCTGCGACCTCGGACCTGCAAGCCAAAGCAGCCACTGAGGCAGCGGAGGCAGCGATGGAGCAGCTGCGGGCCGAGCGAGATTCAGGTAAATAGGAAAATCGACTATTTCGAGCACGCTGCAGTCGTCCGATTCGTGTTCAGGAACAACCTGAGCAACAGCGCAGACACGCGGAAGAACAAACGGCGGCCCTAGCGGACATTTGTTGCTCAGCATGTACTCCTGGCGGCAGACCTCGAGGCTGCAAAGGAGACGCAGGCTGAGCTTGAGGAGAAGGTGCAAGAGCTTCATCGCAGCGCCCCTATACGATCCTTTATATGAACGCACCGCCTAGGCTCATGGCGCCGTTCCACACCATGGAGTTCGGAGGCAAAGGAGCGGCCGTGGTAGCAATGAGTGGCATGCAGTCTGGCAGGGACCTCGACAGATGCTTCGCTGGGCTCAACTACCCGCCTTGCGCACCGCCCTGCACGACCACATGGCGGCCTTCGCGGGGGCTGAGAGGGCTGAGGCGAAGGTTCCTCCGCCACCGCCGCAGCCTGAGGAGCGCGCCAGGGCAGCCGCCGCAGCAATGGGCCTATAGAGGAGGCCGAGGCCGCGGCCGCGCCGGCAGACGCGGTCACGCCGCAGGCGCCTACGGCCGAGAGGCGCTCGGCGGAGCAGGCGGAGCTCGAGGCTGAGGATTGCCCTGCGAGGACTGGGACCGGGTAGGCGGCGGAGGCGGCGAATCCGCCGCCAGGGCAACACTCAGCATGACTGCGAGAAGGGCGGCCAGCTCGTCATCCAGACGGCGAATGCCAACTCGTGGAGCACGGCGGCTGCCCCCACATCGTGGGCTCTTCTGCACGCACTGTACCAGTTCACGAACATGAGCTTCATGGTCAGCTTTTGTTGGAGGCCAAGGGGCACCTCAGTCGGCAAGGGTGGGGCAACTTTTGGGCACCGCGCATTGTCGCTCAGCGTGCTGGCAAGA